ATCCAGAATGGTGCACCTTCCAGTGAGTGGATGAGTCAATAACTGGGGAATACCTGGTGGCCAGGGGGCGTTGCCCAAAGAGCTTATCTGACTCATCCAATCATGAGAGGACAAGGTGAACCCATTCTGGATACTCCTCCCCCCACTATGAGAAGAGGCATATCAGGTAAGTACCAATCCCCTATCTCCTTTACAACCCACGAAACTAGGGAGGGTCTCTTCTGAGCCTCTTGCCCCGTTCATTGTCGATTTCCTTGGCAATCTCTTCGCTCAATCTCCCAAGGTCTTTCCCACATCCCACTGCAGACGTTACTCATTCAACATTGCAACCGTCACCAGTGTGACTCAGTCCCCAAGCGTCCGAAATTTCATCACATGACCATGGGGACTCTGCAACGGCTGTAAGTGTGAAAACGATTGTGAGCCACTTTGGTCACTAAATGAGCTGTTGTAAGTTGAGGACTACCTGTAGTTGATGACGAGGATGTTTTAGGGCGTCTCTGGTGACGGCTGATTTGTGTTTCATTTCAGGAGGGACGTCCAGGATGGCGGACAGCATAGATGAGTGGGTGGGCTGTGCTTACCTCTTTCTCCAAGCAACCTTGGAAGGTGACTCTCTACCTACACTCTACAGCCACCCACATCACAGGTTCAAGATATACCAAGCGTTGAAGACGGCATTGACAGGTACATCAATAGCGTTCGCCCTGGTCCATCTTCCCCACGTGTTTATGGTCAGAGGGAATCGGTTATCTAGTTCTTGGCTAAGCAACTGAGATTTTTTTTTCTTCTGAGTTCAAAATGCTTTCCACCTCTAGCCTGTGTAAATAAAAATAAAAATGGTGGAAAAAGTTACCGAAAATGAGAAAGTAAAGATTTTGTAGGACTTTTGGATACAGACGGATCGTCATTTGGAACACAACACACCAGATATCACAATTGTAGAGGGCCAAAGCGTACAGTTTAATGACATCGCGGTACTAGGAGATGCCAGAGTTGAAGAAAAAGAACTGGAAAAAAATCCCATTTTTTTCCATGATTATGGATGACACCTACAGTATATGTTATTAATCATAGCTTACAAAACAGACAAATAATCAAGTTCTAGACACGATACACTCGTCAATAGGCAAGCACGGGGTTGAAGTCCAATCCAAAGAGGAGGGCAAAATGTCCTTCCAGCCATCAGAACTGATGAAGCTTCTAGGATAGGAAGCAAAACGTTTTCTTCATCTTCCTCAAGGCAAAAACAGTCCAGTTGCCTCTTGAGGAAACAAAAAGCATCTTTGAGACATGAGGGCAAAATGTTTTCATGTCAGCATCCACAACCTAGGGCCCTGATGGTGGAGCTATGGCATGCGTGACCAAAGTGGCCATGTCGCCTGGCATGTGGCGCATCGCCCGTCCCTCTTCTGAGTTTCTGGTGTGCATGCGTGCGCAACGATCAGCTGGCCCTTGTGCGTTCAGTAGTGCCGGAAACTGGAAGAGGTGGTTGGTCTTCCATGTTCCAACGTGAGCATTTTGCACCGGTCGGCTGACCATCACATGTGCATGCGCACCAGAAACCGGAAGACTAGCTGGCCTGCGCACACCAGAAACTTAGAAGTTCATTTTCCGGCAGGCCCATGCCCCCTGCGTAGCTCCTCTTCTTCTTCCTTAGAAGTGGTCCTAAGCTGACCTTCCCACAAGCTTCTCCTCCAGAGCAAACTTATTCAAGGACGTAGCCACAACCTGTAGCAGCATTTTTCAAACCTGGCAACTTTAAAAGGCATGGGCTTCAAATCCCAGAACTCCCTAGTTGAAGTCCACACATCTTAACATTGCCAAGTTTGAAAGACACTGGCTTAGATCTTCTGCTGGAGCAACCATCCGACTCATCTTCCATTTTTCCTTTTCTTTCTTCCACAGATTCTGTGGGCTTTAATAGGGTGGATATTCTGAAGATCCAGTGTAGTGACAATGATTTGATCGTCCAGCTCAAATTCTGCAAGAAAGAGAACTGCAGAAAGTTCCTGCAAAGCTACAAGAATGGAAATTTTCACAGAGCTCTTCAGTTGATAATAAACTCCTGCTTCCCCATGCCCAGCCTAGGGTTACTCAAGACAGAACTGAGGGCTGGTGCTGACAAGTTGGATTCCATCATCCAAGAAGAAGAACGGTGTCTAGAAAGCATCTCTCGGGAGAAGGTAAGTGTCAGACTTTGAAATGGGTGGCTTGTTGTCACTTGGGAGAGGCAGCCACTAAAATGCAGGTCCTGTGTCTACATAAACAAAAAGTCCCATTGGCTTCTTGAAAGCCTCCAGGGTAGAAGCTCCCACAACTTCTGAAGGCAACTTCTGTTCCATGGGTGATTGTTCTCACTGTCAGGAAATTCCTCATTTCCAGGTTGAATCTCTCCTTGGTCAGTTTCCATCCATTATTCCTTGTCTGGCCTTTGGGTGCCTTGGAGAATAGCTTGACCCCCTAACTCCTCTCTGGGGCAGCCCCTCAAATACTGGAAGATGCTCTCCTGTCTCCCCTGGTCCTTCTCTTCCTTAGACTAGCCAGGCCCAGTTCCTGCAACCGTTCATCATATATTTTACAATGGCTTTTGATCATCTTAGATAGATTCATTTTTAACAGAGTTGGAAGGGACCTTGTAGGTCATCTAGTCCAACCCTCCGCCCAAGCAGGAGACCCTACACCATTTCTGACCGATGGCAGTCCAGTCCCTTCTTGAAAGCCTCCAGGATAGAAGCTCCCACAACTTCTGAAGGCAACTTCTGTTCCATGGGTGATTGTTCTCACTGTCAGGAAATTCCTCATTTC